GTTAGACATCACTTCCTCATTTTCTGTAACTATAGTCTATTAATTTAATCTTCTAAGTGGCATGGTTACCATTATCCGGCATGAGATATTTTTATCAGTTAGTATGTATTAGATCACAATTTAAAATATATTGCTTTCTCACTTTCTTTAATAATTAATAGTCATAATAAATTTGTGCTATGACTGTTAATAATTTAAAAATAGAACAGAATGGATTAGCAGATAAATGCATAGGAAATTCCTAGAATTTTATTATTTTAATTTCTTGTGTAAAATTTCTAATGTTAATCTAGATTCTAATCAGTATTTATGTCTAGTTAAGCTAAATATCAGAAATTGAAGCAAGAAAAATGAGATTGAAATATAAGTGAAATGTAGGATAATTTTGAAAATTCATTTGAACTTGCATATCATTTTAAGGAATCTAATTTTAATGTACTGTGAAAAACTTGTTTAATTATTACTATATACTTTGTCAATTAAGCATGATTGCAGTGAAAAGCATAGGCAGAAGAGTCAATAATTAAAAGGGGGGAATGTTGTTAGAAATCTAGGGATAAAATTGGTTGCTTTCTTTTTTTATTTTGTTTTACCAATGATTTAAAAATCATATTTCAGTTTATCCATTATTTTCATCATCAGGAAAGTTTGAAACATTTGAATTGTAGATTCACCTTCATAGTCAGATTTATCAGGATAATGGGTTGGCATCTTGGTAAACAAATTCATAATGATAATGTAATCAAAACTTCATTGTGACTTCCAACCTTATGAAACCTAAATACTTATAATGAAAATTAAGTAAAGCAATACTTCTTATCATCTTCAGGGCTTTGAGAATTTCTTATTGGTCAAATCTGGTGTGATAATTGCATTATAATGTTGTTGTCAGTGAATAAATGAGTCCTTTGCTGCTTTCTCAGTGAAGCAGGAATGGAATTACTGCAACTGCATTTTGCTAATTATTTTTGTAAACAATTTTCATTCGTCATTATGTAATTACTGAAAAACTAATGAAACTTTTGACTGGCACATCTAGTCCATTGTTCTTTGATGCTATATTCCAGTGGCATGAAATACTGTGTATCTGTAAAGCTAAGATCTTCTCTCTCTCCTCCATTTTACAGTAATTGTCTAATTTTGTATTGTGAGTTTTATGCATTGTACAGGAAATTAAACTATTTCTCATAGTAAATAACCTATTTATCATGTTATGAAGTCCCATTATTTTAATTTTGATTGATATTTTAATTTTGAGATTAATATGTTTTATGTGCTGTGGATATTAAATAAAGAGCCAATAGCCCTTTTAAATGGGTTTTATTATAACCCATATAAGCCCATTTTAAAGGGCTATTGGTGAACAAGGTCAATGCAGTCACACTGGGTGACAGAATTCAGGAGTGGCAAAGATTTTAGAATTTTAAAACACATTAGACAGCAGGATTTAAGAAACTTGAACTGCCTTGTGGGAGTAAAAAGCCTAGTGCCGGCTCTGTTGATAAAGCAGTATATGCCATTCCCCAAATGGCTAATATCTATAATCTGGCACCATTTCAGTATCTCCCACTAAATGTGATGAGAAATATGACACCATATTTATTTACGTTAATAAAATAAAACAAAAATTATTTTAAAGTTTTTTTTTATTATTGGGGGGGGGGGTTGCTATGAGTCTTTATGGCAGGGGCTTATCCAAAATATCCAAATGCATGCTGCTTTATATAATTAAAAAAAAAATATGTTAATGAATGAAATTTGGTAGTTGGCTGCAATATTTGCACACAAATATTGTTAATACTATGAAATAATTAAATGCATAATACAAATTTAAAATTCACTAGCTAAGATTTTTGATACACTTTCTATTGTAGAGTCAGAATTCAGTTTTGTTTTGTACTTATAGCATTATGTATAATCAATTAATCAACCACTGATTTGGCAAACTAATAAAAATCAACTTTGGTAGAGTTAATACATACGAAACTTTGAATGAAACCCATAAATAAGCCTGTTGTAACTAAATGTGCAGCACTGTGTAAGCCTTGAAGCATAAAACTCACCTTTGTTCTTATCTAAAAAATAATTATAAACCACATTAACCCTTCAGCACACGCGCATCAGTGTGCTACGTTAGTACACGTGCGGGACAAATTTTACCCCAGTGTTTGTTGCTCGGAATTTTTACCCCAACGCATAAGTAAATGCATTTTCAATATTGCTTACCTAAAGTAAGCCATAAAAATCGAAATTTGTACAAAATTACTAATTTATTTAAGACGCATTAATATGATTTCTTAAATTAGGAAAATCAATTTTAATATGTACTTATCTTTTAAACTTTTAAAGAGTTTATTTTAAAGGGTGTGTTTTGATAAAGCATTATAGGAATATTAAAAGCCCGCATTCTTACTAGCTTTTGCAATAAAATCTAATATAATCTCATACAATTAATTATACAAATGAAAGAATAGATTCTAAATACAAATATTAAAAAAAAATAAATAGCTCATAGGTTTTTTTCTCTTACCTGATTTTAATTATTCCAACTATCTCGTTTTGAACAATCTTCACATAGTGTTACAACATGTATTTTACAAACCAATTTGTTGCAATTTGTACAAGATACAGAGGTTTTGCGATCGTCTCTTCTGGGGCATATATCACAGCGTCCTGAAGTCCTTCTTTGGAATTTTTTAGGTTGAAGATCTGCTGCATCTTCTATTCCTGCCAACCTTTTTACACCAGTTTTGAGTTCCTTCGAAAGAGATGGAATTTCAGCCCTTTTTAGGAGATGTTCTTTTACAAGCTCTAATGCTAAATCTTTGAGAAAAGCTCTTCGGTTCATATTCACTTGAACAATATTTGATTTATGAATAATAAAAGCATTTATACCTGCAATGTTCATTAGTTCGAAAAATACCGTTAGAGGCCAACGGCGACATTTTCTTGAAACTGAGTAATTTCCACATAACTCATCTACAGTATCAACACCACCTTTTATAGAGTTGTAAAAAGTTATCATTTCGGGCTTGAGCTGCTCTTTTGACAATAGATCAATTTGATTATCCTTATGCATGGATGATAGAACAAGAACTGATTTATTCTTTTTTGGAACATATGATGTAAGAGTTAATTCTTTAGCTCTAAACCCCAAAAAGTGAAGAGTATACAGGGGGCCTATTTTTATTTGGCAGAAATTCTTGTGGAATTTCACGCTTATCTTTTCGAAGAGTTCCAAAGCATGTCAATTTGTGTTTTTTCAATAATTCATTAATTCATTGGCCAAAGGAATGCTTATGTACCAATTGTCCATATTTATGTTTCTTCCTGTGCCACTTATGGGTGCAATAAGTCTTTGTACAATATCCAGTGCCGCATTTGATTGTCTATATGGACCGACAGGCTGCTGACCTGCATAAATTTTTAGGTTGTATGTGTAGAAAGTGTGAGAATTGCACAAAGCAAAAATTTTTATTCCATATTTTGCGGGCTTACCTTTTATATATTGTCTAAATTGACACCTTCCTCAAAAGAGCTGTAATTTTTCATCTATAGTACAATATTCAGATAAAGAATATATGTTTTGTATGTTTTTGATAAATTTTTCAAAAACATTTCTAATGGGTGCAAGTCTATCCGTCATTTTTCACTGTGCTTTTGAATTTAAGTCATCAAATCTAATACACCTCAACAGGAAGTGGAATCGGTTGATAGATATTGTTGTTTGAAAAATGGTTATTCCACTTCCGTCAGTTGACCACAAATCTTTTGCGTTGAGATGTGCTGCTCTCAGCACTCCAGTGTAATATAATAGTCCAAACAATGCCTTCAGTTCAGCTACGTTTGTGTCTTGTGCATCACGTTTTCTAGAGAATTTGCTTTTTATTGATGAAATGTAAATATTCGTGGATTTCACTAAATTTTCCATTATTTCATCATAAAAAATTTGCAATAAACACTCAGCCGGCGTTTTCAAATTTCTGAAGCTGTTCTTAACACCAGGTAAATGTGTCACTATATTGTGCTGCCGTGCCCGAATGTTTTTCTAAGTACTTTTTTACTCCACTTTGTTCCGTCTTTTCCTATATAAAAATCATCTGAAACCATAGAAGATATGCTCCTTATATCATGTGAATTATCACATTTCTGGTCGGAATCGGTTTCGTGAGCACTTTCAGAAATATTATCACTGTCAGAATCGGAATCTTCAATTTCACTATCAGTTTCAACACTTGCGAGAAGATCCCGCAGTCGTTGCTGTTCTCGCTTGTACGCACTCAACTCAATGAAAATCTCTCTAGAAGTGAAACCTTAGCACATGCGCGGGGTAGCTACAATCCCATTTCACATTTCTTCCGCGAAAACACAAAATCCCAAGGACGTGGGAAAAATTCCTCTGGATGACCCCTTCCTAACCTTGACCTTGAAAGGTACAGGAAGTACTAGAAAAGGTCACGTACAACGTTCCCTTATTTTCTAAAGAAAGAATACAAGGGGGGGGGTTTACCCCAGCACGTGTGCTGACGGTTTAAATTTAAATATTCAATTGATATTAAATGGTTGTCGCACTGTGGTTTCCAGTTACATGGGGTAAAAAGACTACATGCAGCTATGCGAGGTTTGCTCATTCTGGCATGTTGTGGAAAGAAAGGAAAGGAAGAGAGATATTTTTTTTGCTCTTATGAAGTATTTCATCCACTGATGCTATAACTGGAAAGCATGCTCAGTTTCAGGGCAGAAAGAAAAAAGACATGATAGGGCACAGTTCTTTTAAGTTTCTGACTCTAAATAGAATTCATAATTCATCCCCAATTCATTTAAAATAATTAATCAGGATTTTGCTATGCAATTTAGTTAAAATGCATGATTATGCATGCATGCATAATCATGCATTTCTGAATCCGGTCCTGATCACAGAAAAGTACCAAATAGTTGTGTATGGTATTAAAGATTGTTTTCTTTATTTCATATATATATGTAAATTTTATTTATTATAGATTTGGGAACGAAGGCCCGCAGAAGAATCTGCTGTGAAGAATGGAAGTTAATGTATTATTTTTGTTTTTCATTTGTAAATAATCACATCACAATAAAATGGCATGTTCATATTTCATGTGAAGGCTCTGTACTAGTTAATAAAATATTTTTGCATGCATATTGTATAAAATCTATTTAAAATTTTCATTGTGTGTTTACAAAATATGTGGCAGGTGCATAATGGAAAAGTGCCAAAATTTTTATAATACACACCTTTCTTTTTGAAGATTTTTATGTAATCACAATGTTGCATAATCTGTATTTTTAAATAGATGCTATTTTATTCAGTAAATTTCATGATTGTTTGCTCCCTTCCATAACTCTGTTACCTGATGAATGCAACTGGTATTTGTAGTTGTGCATAAAGTATTATGAGTAAACTCCAGTCCTGTCGAAAAAGGTCTTGTGTACAAAATAATAATCCTAAAGGATTGAACTCTTAGATTAGCAGATTAAAAATTTACTAAGGATTTGTGGTGTCAAAGACATTTTTTTAATTCTTAAAAAGCAATGATTTTTAGATCAAATTTTAAAGTTCTGTAAATTAAATATCAGTGAGATGTACTGCCAAATCTTGATATCTCAAAGTTTGTCTGGAAGGGGAGGGTTGGAATATCAAAGTAAAGAGTTTTCAAGATAATAAGATTTTAATTTTTGATAAATTTAGAATGTCAGTGCAAAGTTAATGATAGAGCACTCATTAAGAAGTATGAAATGTTATCAATGTTTAATTTTAATAAAAGTTTTAAAAAGGTTTAAAGTTGTTTTGTCAAATAAGTAATAGAAAATATAAGTAACTGTAATGTAACATAGTGGAAATATCAGGTTTTAATGAAAGTTTCCTGCCACTGCAAATATCATCTGTGCAAACAATTAATGTTGGCAAGTTTATTCATATTTTTCAAATAGTTTTTGGCATTTGAAAGAAAGAGATTTGCTTTAGAACACTGTGTTGTGAAATTTGTAAAAAAGTATTGTTATCATTAAGTACAAGGTGTCTGAAATGGAACTATCATGCTACCAGATTAGAACCAACATTTACTTCGAGTTCTTTTGCTAAAAATCAGCTACAGAATGTCACTAAATCATGTGTACAGCTTTAGGTAGTAATGCTGTATTATATTACACTATGAAGGTTTGGTACTGAAAGTTCAAAACCAAGGACTAAAGACATTAAAGCAGAATCCTCTGGCTGACGTACTGATGTTGATGAGGCTGCCTGCGAGAACTTACAGAAGATCAGTGTGCGTATGCTCGAGAGCTTGCTAAGTAGTTAGATGTTAGTGCCATGTCCATTAGTCACACTGTGCATTGCATAAACTTGACATACAAGTTCAATCTTTGGGATTGTTACTTGTGATGAAAAGTGGATTTACTTTACCTTCACAGGCTGAAAAAAAGGTTGATCTGGCCCAGTGAGCCCATTGGCAGTGTCGCAAAGTACAATTTGACTAATTAAAAGATCATACTTTGTATCTGGGAGATTGGCATGGTGTTATCCACAGAGAGTATCTGGAAAAATGTAAAACCTTTGACAGTGAGGTATGCAGCAAGGAGCTAGTCCTTTTTAACTTTGCTATCAAGAAAAAATGTAGAACTGAGTTCTGGCACAAAAAGGCAATGTTCCATCAAGATAATGCAAGACCACACGTAACACATCAGTCAGTAAGTCCCGGGACTAACTAAGGAAACAACATCCATTTCACAAATTTCACGTTTATTCATCAACATAATCGCCATCAAGAGCTATGCAATCATTTCAACGCTTTTCTAACTTTTCGATACCAGGCTTGTAAAACGATTTGTCCTTGCCCACAAAATAAGCTTCAGTGGCAGCGATGACTTCCTCATTCAAGCCAAATCTTTTTCCCGGGAGCATCTTTTTCAGATCAGCAAACAGCCAGTAGTTGCTGGGGGCTAGATCTGGGGAGTATGGTGGGTGGGGAAGCAGAGTGAAGCCCAACTGTTCAATGTAACCAGTGTTTGCATTGACTTGGGACAACGGGGCATTTTCTTGATAGAAGATGATTTTTTTCTTCTTCATTGTGCGGTCTTTTTTTTTTTTTTTTCCCCCGCTTTCATCTTTCAGACGTACCAATAACTCACTGTAATAGGTGCTATTGATAAATATTCCCTTTTCAAGGTAGTCAGTTTAAATTATACTTTGCGCATTCCAAAACACTGATGCCATGACTTTGCCAGCTGACTGTTGTGCTTTTGGACGCTTCGGATGGCCTTCGCAGGCTGCACGCCACTCAGCTTACTGCCGCTTTGACTCCGGAGTGAAAGAATGGATCCATGTTTCATCCATTGTCACATACGGACGCAAGAAATCCTGTTTATTATGAGTAAACAGTAACAAACAACTCTGTGAATCGTTGACTCATTGTTGCTTTTGTTCCATTGTGAGCACACGTGGCATCCATTTGGAAAACACTTTTTTCATGCCCAACTTTTCATGTAAAATCATACACACAACTTCCAGTTGTTATGTTTACCATCTCAGCAATCTCACGAACTTTGTGATCATTCATCATGATTTTCAACACTTGTTTCACATTTTCCGGAGTACTGCTTCATTTGGCCTACCTGAGCGTGCTGCATCATTTGTATTCATGCGACCGCATTTAAAAATCAGCATACCAACGGCAAATGGTTGTTTTTGATGGAGCAGAGTGGATAACATTTTCCAAGCCATTGCTGAGTTTGGACGGTATTTTTTGCCATTAAATAGCAATGTTTGATCAACACTCGAAATTAATTTTTCTCCATTTTATCCACAAATGCACAAGTAGCATCACTTTCACCACAGTAGCTTCACTGTTTCTGGTCTGAATGCCATGAAAATCAGACACATGCCATTTGAAGGTTATTTCTTTCAAGTTGATATTACTACGCCATCTGTTGGTTAGTCCCGCAACTTTATGAACGATGTATTATCTACATTCATTGGCTGAACTTGGCTGTCTATGCTAGTGTCAATTGGCTGGTCTCCCTGTTTTGGGGAAAGCTGAGTGTAGGGCTCTGTGAACATATATTGTGGTGTGCATGTGGGTTCGTAATAGATTGAATGCACACAGGTCCGATAATTGGTTGATAAAGTTTTATTTTATCAAAAGAAACACTTCAGAGTTTTGGAACATTCCACAGAAATACTCATACAGGTGTTCACATAGTACAATTAGTAGTTACGCTTCAAACTACTGAGAAGGTTAAACGCAGTGCAAGCAAAGCACATCTAAAAGGCGAAGCTCCCAATACTCCAAAGTTGCTCTGAACTAACGACTCACAACAACTACTTAGAGCAGGTGCACTCTCCATTCTTATACAGTTTTCACCCAGCCGCCGAGATATTTCAAGTATTTCCTGCTTCTCGAAATTATTGGAAGGCAGGCTGAGTATGCTTACAGAGCATCTAAAATGAATTATATTATTCAGTTGCAGTATCTATTATGGTGATACAGGGACCGGAAAAAAATGCTTATCAAGTTTAGAAACAAAAATTAGTCGTCAAAACCATTGCCAGCTTGGCGATACCTTGCCATTTTCCCAATTTAGACTTGCCTCTGTATTCTTACTTTTCCTGCAAGCTTCATTTATTTAGATTTTGATGCTACATTATGCAAAAGAAATACAACAATTCCACATATAATTTAACTAAATTTATCTGTCTATATACAAAAATCGTAACAATATAAACACTTATTCCTCGTGCAGGAATTTATGTCACCTTGTTGGACTCCATGGTAGGCAGGCCTATGGGTCCGATTTTTTTTTCTCTTTAAATATGAATTCAAAACTTTCAGACATATGCAATTCTTAACGGTGTCATATAATGACAAAAAAGTCCAAGAACTTAAAAGTATCTTTTCGAGACGTGCCTATTTTCAGTGATCAGTAATTCATCTGGAGAAATGCAAAAGATGACATTGTTCGTAATACAAAAATGCAATGCTGATGAACCAAAAAAAAAAAAAAAAAAACTTCAACCCAGTGATATGCTTACTGAAACATATTCTGCTTCGCAGGATAAAAGGATGATTTCAGCCTCACACAATAACAGTACAATGAATGCTTTCAGCTTCACATCTTGCTGTGGCTACTATGGGACAGGTAACATGGAACATAACAGCACATAATACCCCTAATTTCTCTAGTAGTATAATTTAAGACTTCAATCTTCTTTGCATTACTGATGAAGTTTTCTGACCAGAATACTTGTGCTACCTGGCAGATCAAGGTGTGAAAAAATCACTTGATTAACACCAAGCACATTATCCTGACCTTCAACACACCTGTTTGTCAAAATTTAAGGTCGAGTATTTAAACTGCTCAAAAAGGCCCAAAATTCTAAACTTAATGGAATGTTCACAATGCCGTTCGAAGATACCTTGTTGTTGTCACCTTACATGATCATGGTGTTTTGTAGTGGGCTTAGACAGAGAAAACTCTATTTCTGCCCCACTGTATGCTAAATACAGTGTCATACTCTTATGTTTTGTCCAAAGAGAAAGTTTGAGAAATAATACAGGTGATCAAAATAACTAAGAAAATATCAAACATAGAAGCTAGACAAATAGCATCAAACACTCAGTTGCAACAAAATGTAACCTACAGGGGTTGGACAAAAATATGGAAACACCTTTATAAAAACATGTTTCTTTGCTTAATATGGTGTAGGAAACCCGTTGGCATCCAAAACAGCTTGCAGTCTTCTCGGAATGGATAAATACAGTTCCTGTATGTTTGCCAAGGGAATATTATACCATTCTTCCTGCAAAACGGTGGCAAGTTCAGATAACGATGTTGGCGGTGGATAACGAGAACGCACTTTCCGTTCCAATGTAGACCACAAAGGTTCGATAATATTCAGGTCTGGTGACTGGGGTGGCCAGGGGAGATGACACAACTCATCCTCGTGTTCAGAAACCAGTCCTGGACAATGTGAGCTGTGTGAACAGGGGCTTTGTCATCTTGGAAGACACCATCACCATCGGGGAACAAAGTTTGTACCATGGGATGAATTTGATCGGCCAAAATGTTCACATAAGTCTTGGCAGTCATGTGCCCTGACACAGTTATCATGGGACTAGCAGAGAACCACGATATGGCTGCCCA